CCTGAAAAATTGTGCCAATGTAGGGGTCATGCCAATCTTGAAAAGAACTACCCGCGCCGCCGCCGCTCGTGCAACGAACAGCCGGGTCGGTTCCGTTCCTGGAAATGAACCACGGTGATGGCTCTGATCCTGGATTAATCGTCCCCAACACTGGATGTACCTACCCTCGTTGGACACCTTCGGGCATAGGTATATCGGGATATCACCAAACCTCTCGCCGAACCTGAAGCAATTTGCACGTGGCCTGTCGATCCTGATAAATGTCGACGCTGGATAATTCCGGGCCTGAGAATAATCGCTGAGCCGGTACCAAATCAGCAATAAACCGCCTTGGCCCCTTAAGTTACCCGTCGTGACGGTGCCGAACCTGTAACAGACTGCCATAGTGATCCGGACCTGTCGATAAATCGCCATAGAGTCCTTGAACCCGATATAACCCGTTGAGGTTGCTCCGAACCGGATTAAGTCATGCCGATGTCCCCGAACCAGAAAATAAGCCACCGTCGTAGTCGCAAACCTGAAAGTAGGTCACCGTAGTGGCCCTCAATCCCGAAACAAGGCGACGCCGACCCCATACCGATCCTGATGCATGTCGGATACCGTAGGGCGTAGCCATTCTGTAACAATATCGAACCTCTCTGAACCATGTATCCGTACCGAGTCAAATACCATCGTCGACCCAAGGTAGCACCCCTCCATGCTGTCCATGCGGCTCCCGCTCTCAGAACATCCCAATTGCGGCGAAGTTAGTAATCAAGCAAACCAGGGAAAGCGGCGCAGGGAATCTCAATCTTCGGCAGTAGTGAAAAATGATAGAATCCAGAGAAACGATCAATCCGGGGTCAGAGCTGATGGCGGGTAATCGAGGCGAAATTAGTCATGGGTTCGCGTACCTTTCATCGTTTTTAATCATTCTTCCTTTTCCTTAACTGTATTGTAGAAAATAGTAAATTAACCGTAAATTCCCCAAAATTAAATTCTGAGAAAGTCTAAATAAATGACTGAATTCCTTTTGTTTCTTTTCTCTTTTACCATTTTTAATCTTTTTCTATGTTTTTAATTTCATTGCCGGGAACATAAAATAACAAGGGTATTAACCCTAGAATTAAATGCCGTGAAAAATAAAGAAATTAAGGGATATTATGTTTTTCCCTTCTCCCCTACTGGTCTTAATCCCTTTTCCCCATCTTTAATTATGGTACTAAAATAGTCAAAAATTTGATGCCTCATTTCAGCCCCGGTCGTATGCTGCAAAAACGTTGCGGCGAGGTCAGTTCCCTCGATGCTCCTCCGCGGCAGGCCAATGCGGGTCTAACCCTCTGAACGGCCGAAAATGGCGGTCCCTAGATGCGCCTAGTGCGGCCACTCATCTCGCCGTCTTTGAGGGTTACTCGTAAGGTCCAGTGCGCCCAAAATCAGGGGTACCCTGAGCTCCCCTAATTTTTGCTGCCTGGTCAACCCGGAGTACCGTTAAAACGCGGACTTGTCTTTTAGCCTAAGACCCAAAGCCACAGATTTCAGGCGGCGCACTGCTTGTGGCCGCCTGACACCGGGACACCGCACCCTCCGACAACGTGCACTTAGCCTGCCCGTAGGCAGGGAGCAACTGGTAATTGAGAGAACTAAACATCGGTCGTGCCAGCTCCTCTAGTATGTCTGGGATGCTTAATTAGCCGCCCCACTGGCTCTCCCGTGTGTGCATAGGTCGTGCCCCCTCGACGCATGACGTACCTGTTCGCTGGCACATAAGTCCGCGACAAGGGCGTTCTGAATGCCCTGAGATCGGGGACTGGTGCGCCTAGGAACCAGCGCACTCCCGTGTGCCAGTCTCTCCGGTACTCCTGGGATGATTGGAAAGGAGGCCTAGTTCAGCTTAAATACTTTTCTGGGCCCACGACAATAGCCTCCGAGAGGACCCAAGTGCCACAAAGGATCGTGGTCATGTTGTCGCGGCGTCGGGAGGCTTGCAACGCCCCGGTACTGTGGTTATTCCCGGTCCAATACCCGGGCCTGCTTCGCCGACCGAACAGGTGCGAGTGTCACGAAGCAGGCGGTGCTGTCAGGAATTCGCAAAGGCTTGGTACCGAAGCTACCCCCAACCTGGTGCCGTTCGGGCCGCCCGATTCATCGTCACTTTCATCTCGCTCAAATTTGTGCTCCTTCAAATCTGATAATCCAACACCCCTTTAAGGCCCAATGCTCGTTCACTTCATAAATCTCACCCAGTTGACCGTGGCCCCGCAAGCGTCGCTCGAGCGTTGACATATTCAGATCCTCCCTTGATAGTGGCCTTCTCGCTTCTCTCCGTTGGAGTCGTGCACTCACGGTCGAGCATGGCCCTTTTCCCAGTTGAGCGCGAGTGAGCTCCAATTCCTCTCTTTCTCATTTCCCTTCAATTTTCGGACAACTTTCCACTGAGTCGCTGAGTATCCCCTTTTACTTACGTGTCTCACCTTCGTCACGCCCAACTCCGGACATCCCGTGTTTCTGTCTTTCAATAATGAATTTATTTTTCCCAGCTATAATTACAAACTTCAACGTAGTCGAATACACTGAGGAATTAAATTTTAGTCCTCAGTTCTTGTCCTTTTAGAGGAAGTAAAGGGGAATGATAGGCTTGAGCCGACTGACACCGGAAAACTCTTTCTCCAAGTTTTCATTAATTGTGTCCAGAAGTTGTGCTCCAACCCCTCCTCGCCCTCTTCCAGATGCATTGCTCGAGTTTTGCCCTTCATTGCCCATGATTTTGTTATGATCCAGAAAAGGCCTCGCATGTTTTTCGGGGTTCTATATTTTCCGGTTGTTGTACCCTTCTTAGCCTTAGGTCTATCCATGCTAGATTGTTGTTAGTTCATAGCCTTAGGATCCACTTGGATTGTAGGGCCTTTGTTTGCATTTCTGGATCGAGTATTCCTAAGCCTCCATTTGTCTTCCTTTGTGTTACATACTTCCATGCTCTTTGGAGGTGAAGTTCACTATGGATGGGTCCCCCGTCCAAAGGTAGGCTGCAACTCTTCTTCTTAGTTGAGTTCTTAGGTGTTTTGGCGGGCTCAAAATAGTTGCTGCATACCACATCATTGAGAACATAGAAGCATTCAGGATAAGGGCCCTGCCAAACATTGATGTATGGATCCTTGACCAATTTCCCATTTTAGTTATCATTTTGTCCATTATTGTCGGGGCCATTGACCGGTTACTACCTCGTTTAGACACTTGTCTTAGTGGTTCATTGCCGTGCGACCATGTCATTCCCTCTGGAGTATCATGTGGGGTCTCGATTTGTGGGTCTGTGCGCCACTAACCTATTGTTTTTGGCAAGATGATCTTCATTTCTGATGCAATTTGGAATGTTTGCATGACTCTTGTGAGAGCCTGAAAAGAGGAGTCTGATGCCCTTATAAGAACCGTCAGATCGTCTGCAAATAGGATGGTGGTGGGTAGACTAATCGAGTGTTGTCTGTCTTCCACAAGTCTCTCAATCGAGGGAACCTTTCTTATAAACGAGGCTATGGCTTCCATAATGAAGATTGGGGCCGCTAATGGATCTCCCTGTCTTATTGAACGAGACATGCGATATGGTTGTGAAAGGTGACCATTGACCTGAACTCTTCCGTCGGCTTCCAAGTACAGGATTTGTACCCATTTTCTTGAGTTTGGCCCTGCTCCCATTTTTTCCATGCTTTGTTGTAGGAAATTCCAGTTCACTTGGTCATAGGCTTTTTCAAAGTCAAAGAACAGGATAGCTGCGTTCGTTATTTTATCTTGGATATGTCTAAAAAATTCTTTGAGTGTCATTGCATTGTCTAGAATGAATCTACCTGGGATAAATCCAGCTTGGTCTAGATGAAAGCAATTCTTAGTTATTGTTTTTATCCTATTGCCTAAGAGCGTAGCTAATATCTTCTATGTGATTGTTAGCAATGAGATTGGTCTACAGTTTCTAATGTCCGTTGGATCACCCTTCTTGTATAGGAGAGAAACTATTCCTATACTTTGTTTGCTTCCCAAGGTACCCCTACTCCATGCTTTCTCTAGGAATTGGAAATATTTTGCACCTAATGCTGGCCAGAAGGTTACCTAGAACTCTTTGGAGAGGCCGTCTAGGCCAGGGGTTTTACAGGGTTTCATTGATTGGAGTGCATCGAGGACTTCTTGCTTTGAAATTGGAGTATCTAAGGTTGAGGCTTGTTCTATTGTGATTGTTCTATCCAGATGCGTGAGGAACTTAGCTATGGCTTGTGAGGTTTCCTGTCTTGAGAAGTTCTGTTTTTTAGATGTATAGAGTTCCTGGAAGAAAGAAGTTGCTGCTGTCAGCATATGCTTGGGATTGGAGGACAGTCCTTGTTTCATTTACCCCTTCCGAATTTAGCTTTGTTTCTGGTTTGCACTGACCACTCACAATCGCAGATGGTTGCATCAAATGCTTTCTATGAGTACATTTGAAAAGCAATTGAAAGTTCGAAAGAAGAAATGTGGACACACATGATGCAATGAAGGCACATTGAGAAATGGAAAGACATGATCTCAGAGTTGATTGTGATTCTTTGCACATGCCCTCATCAAGCCTAGGAATGAATGTTTTCCCCTGGTCTTGGTTTTGTTATCCCTGATTGTTGAGACCACCATAATCCAAAACAAAACAAAAAAGGAAAAAGAAAGATGCCACTATAACCGATTTGCACATAACAGAGGCAAAGCACTAAACTGAGGTATTACTATGCTCATCAACAACATGGCATCCCTTTTTTTTTTTCCTTGACAACATGGTGTTCCTAATCTCGTTGATATGTGAGAAACCATTTTGGTATGTTTGGTTCTGTTCGATTCCTATTCAGTTCCTATTCAGTTTCTGTTCGGTTCCTATTCAGTTCTTGTTCAGTTGCTGTTCGGTTCCTGTTTGGTTCATGTTTGGTTCTTGTTTCATTCTTTTTGGTTTCTGTTTGGGTCCTATTTGATTCTGTTCGGTTCTGATCGGTTCTGTTTGGTTCTGTTCTGCCCAGTGCTTTCTTGGACTGCCATTTGATGGTTAGAAACCCCGAAGATTATGTTACTGTAATGGCTGAAGCGGGTGCATCGCAATTTACGTTCCATTTGGAGGTTGCCAGAGGTATGGCTCCCAGACATTGTTTTCTTGTTTGTTTGTTTGTTTGTTTTTACTAGTTTGGACCATTTCTGAATTTGTGCGTCATCCTTTCGCACGGGCCACGCTAATCTTCTCTGTTCGTTCCAATTTTAACGGAGGTCCAAAAGGACAGTGCGAGGATTTTACCCCTCGGCATACTTGCATGAGGCCCCAACAACGGACGCGTGCCCACCCTAAGGGGCCTAAGTGAAGGTGGGACCCTGAATCCCAATGAGCCCTGAATTCCTCAAATTTTGCAAATCTTGGTGGGCGGCAGACAATTGCCACGCGTCAGTTGGTTACCTCCACCTTGCTCGTGAGAATCTGAAATATTTGTGAGCCTTCTAGGCTCTTCTAGCAACGTGGTGAAAGCAGGGAACACCGCATGTTTGAGCCTGGGTGGTTGAGAGAAGGTTAACAAATGCGTATATTTTTTGGTCATTTTCAACTGCTTCATACGAGTGTTGGGTACTTGGATGGGGGGAACTGAAACCGCCCTCAAAAGCTTCAGCCACTTCAGGTCATTTAAGAGGTTTCAGGTCCCCACCTGAAACCTCTGAGATGACCTGAAGTGGCTGAAACTTCTGAAAGCGGTTTCGGGTTCCCCCATCCAAGCATTTGGACGGGGGGACCTGGAACCGCTTTCAGAAAGTTCAACCACTTCAGGTCATTTCAGAGGTTTCAAGTCTCCCCACCCGAAACTCCTGAAATAACATGTAATGGCTGAAGATTCTGAAAGCGGTTTCAGGTCCCCCTACCAAAGCATTTGGATGGAGGGACCTGAAACCGTTTTCAGAAGCTTCAGCCACTTCAGGTCATTTCAGAGGTTTCAGGCCTCCCCACACGAAATTCTTGAAATGGCTCGAAGTGGCTGAACATTTGAAAGCGGTTTCAGATGCCCCAATCCAAAAATTTGTATGGGGGGATCTGAAACCGCTTTCAGAAACTTCAGCCACTTCAGATCATTTCAGAGGTTTTAGGTTTCCCCACCCGAAACTCCTGAAATAACCTGAAGTGGCAGACAACAATGTTGAACCAAAACAAAAACAGGTAGAAAAAAAAAAAAAAAAAACATAAAATCTGACCTTCAAACCACCTGGAACTCCTGAAATGACCCGAAGCGTCTTCAGCGATTTCATACCTCTGGTAACAAACTTCAGAATCTTTCATTCTGAAATTTCAGCAGGTCGTTAACCGCTTGTGCCGCAATCACTTGATGGCGGGATCAGTCCATGCCAGTCCGATTAAGGGATCAAGGGACACAAGTCCCAAATTATGTGTGTGCGTGTGTGAGTGTGTGTTTGTGTGTGTGTTTGTGTGTGTGTTTGTGTGTGTGTGTGTTTGTGTTTGTGTTTGTGTGTGTGTGTGTGTGTGTGTTTGTGTGTGTGTGT